CAGAGAAAGCATTTGACAAGTATAGCATCCATTTATGATAAAAACTCTAAATAAAATGGGTATAGAAGGAAAATACCTCAACATAATAAAGGCCATATGTGACAAACCCACAGCAAATATCATTCTCAATGGAGAAAAACTGAAAGCTATCCCTCTAAGAACAGGAACCAGACAAGGATGCCCGCTGTCACCACTCTTATTTAACATAGTATTGGAAGTCCTAGCCGGAGCAATCAGGCAAGAAAAAGAAATAAAAGGGATCCACATTGGAAAAGAAGAAGTGAAACTGTCACTCTTTGCAGATGACATGATTTTATATCTAGAAAACCCTAAAGAGTCCACTAAAAATCTTTTAGATATAATAAAGGAATACAGTCATTACATTGAATACAAAATCAATGTACAAAAATCGGTTGCTTTTCTATACACTAACAACAAAGTAGCAGAAAGAGAAATTAAGAATACAATCCCATTTATAATTGCAACAAAAAGAATAAAATACCTAGGAATAAACGTAACCAGAGAGGTGAAAGATCTGTACACCGAAAACTATAAAACATTGTTGAAGGAAATTGAAGAAGACACAAAGAAATGGAAAGATATTCCATGCTCTTGGATTGGAAGAATTAACATCATTAAAATGTCCATACTTGCTAAAGCAATCTATAGATTCAACGCAATCCCTATCAAAGTTCCAACAACATTTTTCACAGAAGTACAACAAAGAATCCTAAAATTTATATGGAACAACAAAAGACCCCGAATAGCCAAAGGATTCCTGAGAAAAAAGAACAAAGCTGGAGGTATCACACTCCCTGATTTCAAATTATACTACAAAGCCATAGTATCCAAAACCGCATGGTCCTGGCACAAAAACAGACACACAGATCAATGGAAAAAAATTGAGAGCCCAGAAGTAAACCCACATGTTTATGGACAGCTAATATTCGACAAGGGAGCCAAGAGCATACGATGGAGAAAGGAGAGTCTCTTCAATAAATGGTGTTGGGAAAACTGGACAGCCACATGCAAAAGAATGAAAGTAGACCATTCCCTTACACCATGCACAAAAATCAACTCAAAATGGATTAAAGACTTGAATGTAAGACCCGAAACCATGAGACTTCTAGAAGAAAACATAGGCAGTACGCTCTATGACATTGGTCTGAGCAGCATATTTTCAAGTCCCATGTCTGACCGGGCAAGGGAAACAAAAGAAAAAATGAACAAATGGGACTACATCAAACTTAAAAGTTTCTGCACAGCAAAGGAAACCATCAACAAAACGAAAAGACAACCTAACAATTGGGAGAAGATATTTGCAAACCACGTATCAGATAAGGGGTTAATATCCAAAATATACAAAGAACTCATACAGCTCAAGAACAAAATAACCAACAATCCAATTAGAAAATGGGCAAAAGATCTGAACAGAGATTTATCCAAAGAAGATATACAGATGGCCAACAGGCATATGAAAAGATGCTCCACATCATTAGCTATCAGGGAAATGCAACTCAAAACTACAATGAGGTATCACCTCACTCTGGTGAGAATGGCTATAATTAACAAGACAGGAAACAACAAATGTTGGAGAGGGTGTGGAGAGAAGGGAACCCTTGTTCACTGCTGGTGGCAGTGCAAACTGGTGCAGCCACTATGGAAAGCAGTATGGAGTATCCTCAGAAAATTAAGGATAGATCTACCATATGATCCAGCTATTCCACTGCTGGGTATTTATCCAAAGAAGTTGAAAACACAAAGGCATAAAGATACTTGCACCCCTATGTTCATTGCAGCATTATACACAATAGCCGAGACGTGGAAGCAACCTAGGTGCCCATCAAGGGACGAATGGATAAAGAAGATGTGGTATTTATACACTATGGACTACTACTCAGCCATAAGAAATGACGAAATCTGGCCATTTGTGACTACATGGATGGACCTTGAGGGTATTATGCTGAGTGAAATAAGTCAGAGGGAGAAAGTCAAATACCATATGATCTCACTCAGAAGTAGAAGATAAAAACGACAAAAAAACACACATAGCATTGGAGATTGGCGTGGTGGTTACCTTTGGGGAAGGGTGGGGAGGGCAAAAGGGGTGATTAGGCTCACGTGTGAGGGGATGGACTATAATTAGTGTTCGGGTGGTGAACATGATGTAATGCATACAGAATTCAAAATATGATGTACATCCAAAAAAATAAAATTAAAAAAAACACGCTATTTTGGGTGCTTCTAAGTTTATCCAGTGTGGAGAACCACTTGCCAAAGGCATTCAAATATGTTTTTATTCATTTCTGATTTTTAAAGACCTGGTAATCCATTGTGGTTGAAGGAAAGAATCCTTCAAGACCTTGGATTACGTTATCTCAATGGCATCTTCAGGTTCTAAAAATGCCTTCTGTTACGGCAACTAATGTAGATGTGTGCACTGGTCAGGCCCATAGGTGGAATTGGACTGGGGTATCCTGGGGGTATACTGGACTGAGAAAGTGAAGGGAAAGAATAGCACAAACTCTTAATGCCTTAAAAGAAACCATGGCTCTTATGCTACAGATATTTTTCTTACACAAGTGGACTTTAATAACACGAAAAATGATTTAGACATGATTTTCAGAAATATTCTTTACATTTCTGAATTGTATATAATGATAGGTTCTTTTCCTATTTTTTTGACTGCTTTTGGGTTGGAATAGTTTAGTGTTTTCCAGAGTGCAGCACAGCCTGCAGGATTTTTATAATCTTTGCGTTGTAAAAGAATTTGCAAGCTTTATTTGACCAAGGAGGTTATCAGAGGACTAATGTTCCATGGAACCACACTTTGAGAATTACTGGCTTAGGGTCATTTAAACTAGAAGAGCTTACTGCCCACCATTTACTATAACTCTCTTTGGCCACACTGCTATTGATCTAGCTTCTTACATCCTAAACCTGTCACTCCCTCTCAGCATGAAGTACATGTATCAGGATGCCCTGGCCTACATAAATAAGAAAAGAGCAAGTTTAATTGATTATCTAAAATTGCCTTGAACTGGGGAAGTTGGGAGACTTGGGATCACTTCCCGTTCTGGCATCTAGTAAATATGTTACTTTGGACAAGTCAGTCACATAATTTAAATAATCAAAGCCTTATTTTACTCTACAAAATAGGAATAAAATGTTTATAGGAGATATTAAGTTTGACATGAGATAATTTCATAAAAGCACGTGAAATTATGAACACTGTAAAATGCAAGACATAATTATCACATATTTATTTTATATAGATTCATCAGAATTTCAGAATTCCTAGTATGTTTAAAGCACATTTTTTATATGTTGGTTTTCAAGTGTGACATGAAGTTTATATAAATGTAGGAACTCCTCAGACTAACTGTAACAAGTCCTTTTTCATTGTTGTATTATGAAAGAAAATAAATGTTCAAATTGTATTTTTAGAGAAAAGAGTGTATTAATTTGTTCAGCCTGCTGTTACAAAGTACAGCAAACTGAAGGATGGAAACAACGGAAGTTTATTGTCTCACAGTTGTTGAGGCTACAAGTCTGAGAACAGAGTGGAAGGGCCATGCTCCCTCTAAGGGTGCTTGGGAAAGATCTGTTTGGAAGATGCTTCTGCTGGTTTTCCAGCAATCTTGGGCACTTATTGGCATGTGGCAGCAAAACTCCAGTCTTCACATGGTGTTCTCTGTGTGTGCATGTCTAAGTGAAAATTTCCCCTTTTTATAAAGATACCAGTCATTTGGATTAGGACTCCACCCTACTCCATCTTAACTAATTACATCTGCAATGACCCTATTTCAAATGAGATTTCATTCTGATGAACTGGAGGTTAGGATTTCAACATATGAACTTGGGAGGGTTTGGTAAGAGACAATTTAATCTGTAACAGAGTATACTGAGAAGAAAATGGGAATCAGGGAGGTAGAAATAAGATTCTTAGGTAACTATTTTGAGATCTGATTATGAAAGACTTAGAAGTATATATAGGAGGATATAGTGTTGATGGAAAATCATATTGTATTAAGATGGGCAAGGTTTTGAAAATTTCAAGTTTCATGGGTAGAAGATAGTAGAAAGACTGAGAGGAAAAACTGATGGATCCTAGAATCAGAGAGGGCAGTACAGGATGGATGGAGAGAATAGATGGATGTGGTGTTCTCTATAAAAAAAGACGAATACTTCTCTTAATATAACAATGAGGAAGGAATGAGAGTTAGAGATTTAGATAGGTTTGTTATATTTGTTATTACAAAGGTGAGACAATTCCCTTCTAATGGATTCTAATTATTCTTATACTAGTTATATAGTATATGTAATATATTAACAAAGTATATGTAAGTAAAATATAACTATACAGAATAACTGAATATTATTCTAATTATCATTATTAGTTTCAAAGTGTGAACAAGGTCATATATTGAGAGTAAGGTGAGAGCAGAGTTTGAAGTTTAAAGAAAGTGTAATTTTTAATGAAATTGACTGTGAAACAGTAAGGAACTGCAGATGGCAGGAGGCACATGGGACGATTACCAGATGGTGCTGGCATCCAAGTTGTGATAGGTGACTACAGAGGAACCAATTTGCTCATATGTGTGGATTTTTACAGAGTGTTAAGATGCCAGTACGGGAAATGGATAAGTAGATCCATTCGTGTTTGGAGTTTGGCCAAGCAGATGGGAAAGAAAGACAATGAGTCCAGGGGTTTTCATTTATTAGTAAGAGAATACTTAAAATTATTAATCAGGGCATCTAAATAGGAAAGGGCTGGAAGTGAAGTCGACAGGGTCTGACGGATCGGGAGATATTGAGAGGCCCTGGTGAGACTGGCACACTGGAGTGCAGGAGTGGCTAAGCAAGCAAGTACAGGACTTTACACCTCCTGTTTCAGCGGAATATTCAACTATGCATGCCATTGGTGCCGTCCTTAAAGGGACGCTGCATCACATCAGGGATAATTAGATTCAATCATAACTGTCAAAAAATCCAATGTATAAATGGCTTAAAGACAAATGTTTATTTCTCACAAAAAATAATTCAGGAATTGGGCAATAGAGTAGTTCCATGAAGTTGTCAAAAACCCATGCTCGTTCTGACTTCTCTGCCATCCACGTCATATTACAGTGTCAGAGATGTTCTTCCAGTTCCATCCATCATGACACATTATAACCATTGGAAAAAGGAAAGAAAACAAGAAGGGCCCACAATTTCCTTTAAGGACATATCCCATGAGTGATACAGAATAATTCAGGCTCATCACGTAGTCACATTCAGTAGGGAAGGCTAGGAAATCTAATCTTCATACTAGGCTGTCATAGGGCACAGTAATAAGAAGGAGGAGTCTATAACTAAGGAAGAAGGGAGAACTGATATGAGGGGCAGTCATCAGTCTGTGTCCCAGAACTGCATCTTGGGAATGAACCAGTAAGGAGGAAGAAAAAATCAATTTGTGGCTAGTGGGAGATGGGTAGGCATATAAATTACAAGATCAGTCAGTTCTCCTCCACCTGGACAACGGTCAACGGGCCTGAGTCGGAGGACCAAAGTCTGAAAAGAGGTCTTAAGACACCATGGAATGTGTTCTGGGGAAAAGTGAAAATGTGGGAGCCATCTTTCATGTTATAGAAAGACAGATCTCCAGCTTCATAATCCAGGAATATCCCCACACTAAGGGGTTTTTTCCTTAGAGTAAGAAGAGTTTCTGGGGAGGTGAGGGCCCAGTACTCCCCCTCATAGAGCCTGATGGCCCAGAAACCATTCTGTGGGGACACTGTGACCCTCCCCTTCCTTATTATGTTATCCCTACAAATTCCCAGGTCCCAGGAAGACGTGTCTCCAACCTCCACCTCCCAGTAGCATCTCCCCGAGGTGATATTTAGCTGACCAAGCACACAGGGGAGAGACTCAAATCTCTGTGTGGAGCTGGGTAGATCTTGAGGCTTTTCTTGCCAGGCTACTTGTCTCCCTTTTTCAGACAAGCGGAGGGCAGGATGGGCAGAGGCTGCATCCAGAGTCAAATTTACTGCAAAGAGAAATGGACCCTCATATTTCTGGGAAAGTTCTCTAGGCCTGGGCCAGAGGTGTCCTCACAGAATGAGGTAGATCCAGCTTACGTCCACCTATCTTTCCCTGAGACCACCAGACAAGGAGCACGGTCCCTCCTGGATCCTCATAGACTCACCAGCTTCAAACTCTTCTTTCCTCCAGTCTGCAAGGAAAAAATGAACATGAGAACCTACTATTTGAAAGGTAAAGCTGCTGAGATGTCCAGAATAATGTGAGTATACATTTCTTAGGCTTAATAAAAGAATGATAGCAATCAAAGAAAACATTCTTTCATATAGTTGCACCTCTTTTCACAGTCTGCTAAATTACGTCTCACTTGAAGACCTGATCCATCCCTAGGCTCTCCTCATCCAAGGATACGTGTCTCCCCAGGATAAGTGTCTATGATCTATTTAGGATGTTGGGGAGGAAATACGGAATATGGTCAGTTTGACTAAATACCTTCTTTTGGCTATGTTTCCTTATATTTTATAGCAGGTAGTAATCCTTATCTATCCTCAAAGCATGACATGAGATGCAGATTAAAAAAATAATAAAACGGCTAAAATTTAATGTTTTAAATACATTATTATCTGTTAAAATATTGAGTGATCTATTGAGTTCATGGAATTATTCTTTGGAGTTTCCTTGATTTTCAGCATATTGTTTTGTACACAGTATGTATTCATTTAAAATATCCTTGTAACAGGATTTTCTTCATCAGAGTCCATGTCACTCACCAGCATATAATGGTGCGTTCCTCCAGACTGCAAAGGAAAAAAATAGGAAACCCTTTACTTTTTCTTCTTTCCTGTTTTCTCCATTGTCCTTTCCATTTCTCCCTGTCTTTGTCACATTTCTTCTTCTAAATCCTTTGGACCTTCTTTTTTTATCCTATGTCCTCACATTCCATTTTTTCAAACATGATGATAAAAATGATCAATTGGAGGATTGATAGAAATATAGAAGCAACAAAAGGTCTGAGAGACCGAGGAGGAACAAAAGAAAGGAAGAGGGAAAGGAGGGGAGAGGGTAGAAAATGCTGAATTATTTGTGGTTTGCACATCAGAGAGAATTTATTGAAGTTACTGAAATTCAGAAAGATAATGCTTCAAACGCTTCTTTGCCTACTATAGACATTTCTGTTGTATTTCTGCATCCTATCCCACTGCTACAGGGGCAGAATCTAAGAGAAACGGAAGAATGGAGCTTTCTGAGAGACAATCATCACTCACCTGACTTGAATTGGGCCTTCCTCCTATCTGAGAGAAAAATATAAGAACATCCATATATAACACAGGCTTCCTTAACATTATAAAAAACATGCAATTAAAGTCATACATTTGCCAATATTTGTGTCTGAAAATTGGCCAATGTCCATTTCAAAAGCAAGGAACGGAATTTCTAAAGTCCATTTCACTTGAAAACTTCACCACAATTTGAAGAGTACAATGTTATATGAAAGGACATGAGGATTTAAATAATTCCTGTAGTGAGGTACTGAAAAAATGGTTTAGCAATTTGTTGAATTAATAGTTGAATGGATTAAAATAAAAATGAAAGAACAGTAGTAATTATGGTTGGAAAGAAAAAATCAGGCAAAATTACGCAAAAATATTTATATACTTTAGAACACTAGAGAATATGGTCTAGAGAAGTGGATTAGCTAGTCTCAAAATTACACTTCACCTCAGTATATATGAAGTCTTTAAAAGGTCAGCAAAAGGAGGACTCATCTCACTCAGCAGTTTTGGAGTTTGAACACTTCTCTTAAAAACCATGACAATATCATGTACAAAAGAATAGGCACTCCATCTCAGGGGACATATTAGAGAACACAAGTTAAAGGAAACGTTCTGCTGAATGAAGAAAGCCACATTCTTCTTAGCTTAATCCACTTCATCTCACCAATCTTATAATGAAGTTATGGTAATCATCTGAAAGATAGAAAAAGCCTAAGGATATAGCAAAGAAAAGAAAGAGAATGAAGAAAATCTCAGGAAGATGATGGGAAGGAAACATAACATGGCAGGAGTCCAGGGTGCCAGAAAGAAAAGAGATAAGGTGATTTGAAATTCACAAGAAGGAAGAGGAAAGACAGGAAGAGGTAAAGTGAAGAGTTAGGAAGGGACAAGAAAAATATTTCTAAGGAATACAACAGTGAAAAAGAATGTTAGGAAAAAGTTACCCATTTCTTCTTGAAGTTTTTCTGAAAAATAAAACGGAAAAACTCGTGTAAACGTCACGGGAACCAACAGAGAAAACGAAAATGAGTAGAAAATTTCCAGTGCACAGTAAATTGGTAGGATGAATGTAATTAGGAAAAAAAATGATCAAAACACCCTGAAACAATATCAAGGAAGCAGATTTTTATCTTGGAAAAGTAAGAAAAGGGAATAAACTTTCCCAATTGATTGAATAAAAGAAGAAGGGTGAAGATTTGGATAGAAATAACAAATAGAATTTTATGCCATACATACTTCTTTTATGAATAGTTTTAAGGATATAAATAATTCAAGATTTGGGTCAAAATACACGTTTAATAAAATAATTTGATAACAAATGTTATCTTGGTAGCAGTTTATTGGAATTGATTTTTAATTTCAAAAATCTTTCTGAGTATTTCAGATTACACTAGATGTCTTTAAGTGAAACATAATTTGTGTAATTAATGGTCAACATATATTTAAGTTCTGAGAAACTCTTTTTAGAAGACATCACAACCCTCAAGAAAGCAAATGACTATCATGATGAGATACAATATTTTTTGAAGTCTGATGGTTTCTAATTCTATGCTTTTAACAAAACTACAATAGAATTTAATTGAGTTTTCAACTGACAGAACTTTCAAAATCAGTTTTTATTAACCTGTATTATCTGATCTTATCATTTACTGCAGAAGTTCAAAGAATTAAGTGATGTGGCTCTAACCAAATTCATTCCATTCCCATTAACATATATAAGTACATAATTTCTCAGCACATCAATCTTTTATAAACAAACAGAAATAAAATGGAATAAAATTAATGTTGATTACTAACTTATTTACTTGAAGGGAAATACGAGTCAATGGAGATAAAGGAATGCTAGAATTACTACTAAATGTTAGAAGCCTGCTTTAAACTCTCATTTTTCTCTCTTTTCCAGGATGTGACTCTAGTGTTTATCACTTTTTTTCAGGTGTACACCATTATATTTTGATTTCTGTACAGACTATATCGTGTACACCAGCCAAAGACTAATTACCATCCATCACCATACACATGTGCCCTTTTACTCCTTTCAAGCACCCACTCCCCCTCTTCTCCTCTGGTAACCACCAACCTAATCTCTATATCTATGTATTTGTTAGTTGGTGTTGGTGCTGTTTTCTATCTTCCACAAACAAGTGAAGTCATACAGTACTGGGCTGTCTCTGTCTGACATTTCATTTAGCATACATAATATGCTCAAGGTCCTTCCATTTTGTTGCAATGGCAAGATTTCACCTTTTTTATGATTGAATAGTATTCTGTTGTATATATATATACCACATCTTCTTTTCCCATTCATCCACTGATGAGTACTTAGGTTGCTTCCAAGTCTTGGCTATTGTGAATAATGCAGCAATGAACATAGGGGTGCAAATGTCTTCTTGAATTAGACAAAAAGAGCATGTTTTCATGTTCTTTGTATAAATACCCAGAAGTGGCATAGCTGGATCATATGGTAATTCTATTCTTAATTTTTTGAGGAACCTCTATACTGTTTTCCATGGTGTTCACAAAGTGTACATTCCCACCAGCAGTGTATGAGTGTTCCTTTTTCTCCACATCTGCTCCAACACTTGTTATTTCTTATCCTTTTAGTTACAACCATTCTGACGGGTGTTTCATTGTTGTTTTGATTTTCATTTCCCTGATAGTGACATAGAACACATTTTCATGTGCCTGTTGGCCATTTATATCTTATTTTGAACAATGTCTGTTTAGATAATTTGCCAATTTAAATTGGGTTGTTTTGTTGTTGGTGTTGAGTTGTATGAATTCTTCATAAATTTTGGAAATTAACTCCTTATCAGATATGATCTGCAAAAACGTTCTCCCAATTGTTAGGCTATCTTTTCATTTTGTTGATGGTTTCCTTTGCCACACACTAGCTTGATGTAGTCCCATTTGTTAATTTTTTTCTTTTGTTTCCCTTGCTGGGGCAGGCATGGTATTGAAAAAGATACTACTAAGACTGATGTCAAAGAGTGTACTGCCTATATTTTCTTGCAGAAGGGTTATAGTTTCAGGTCTTATATTCAAGTCTTTAATCCATTTTGAGTTGATTTTGGGGTATGGTGTAAGATAATGGTCTACTTTCACTCTTTTTCATGGGGCTGTCTAGTTTTACCAAACATGTAAAACACATTGCCGTTCTCAGAATTAATAATTGTGTCGGTAAAAGTGCAAAAGTTTAAATGACACTTACTATGGTTGCAAAGGAAAAAAAAAACAGGAAAAATTATGTAACATATTCATATACCTTGGAGAACTAGGGTGATATGTTCAAGGACAGTGGAAAGTGAGCCTCAAGTTCACACTTGACCAATAAGAGACACCAGAATTTACAGTCTTTCAAAGGACAACGGAGGGAGAAACCTCATTCAGCAAGGTAGGACTGTTCTCCCATTTCTTAAGGTTTGGGGTAAAACTGAAGGCATCTTACTGTGCCCTCCTCCTTCAAGTACATAACAGAGGTCCTAGCTTAATGGTCATTTTCCAGAAAATATTTGTAGAATGGAAACCAGATGCCTATCAGCCTAATTCCCTTCATCTCTCCAACATCATAATACAACTACGGCAAGTCTCTTGAAGACGGAAGAAGCAACGTTCGCAGGCAAGGACTGGTAGGGCATGAAAACAGAAGCAACGGGAATGAATGAAAGGCCGAAAAACAGAAGTGGAGAGAATGTAACAGAGAAGAAGTTCATAAACAAATGTCTGTGGGAGGGAAGAGTAGACATCTGGGAGAAAGGTGAGCCAATGGATGTCATGTAGGTGAAATAGCAGGGAACACTAAAGACCAAGACAGCAGCCACTGAAATGGTTATGGGAGTAAAGGGTTGTCAGAGACGTCTTACCCAATTTATTCTGAAGTTCTCCTGAAAAATAAAATGGAAAGATTAATGTAAATATCATGGGAAACAAACGTGAAGAAAATTCAAATGTATTAAAACTTTAAATGTAAATTCAAACTTATCAGGATGCAGAAACAGACAGACAGACACACACACACATACGCGCATGCGCACACACACATACACTCACTCACACGCATGCATCAACAGCAACTGAAAGCCCACTTTTGTCCAGAGAATTTTTTACGAGTAATGAAGATGGGGAGACAGAATGAATTTACTGCAAGAGAAAACATTTCAGAAATATCAGTTGTGATGGTTACCTCATAAAAAAATATTCTTGATCCATTTTGACTTTATTTAAGCTTTTATTACTTATTTCCTTAGTTTTGGTAGGCTTTTGACTGCCCCTAACTATTGGCAGTCATGTCCCATTACTGTGGTATCTTCTTTGTATGAAGTAGCCACAAACACTGACTTACAGAATACGGAACCACGGCTTGTAGAGGAAATGCAGGGTTAGTTTTCCAGGTGCCTGTATTTACATTTGCCTCAATCTGCTGAACACATCACCTTATTTTATATGAGTTTCTGTTTTAACTCATGCCTGGATGAAGCTTATCTTAAGTAAATCACATGAAAGGAAGGGAAGGGAAGTAAAGTATGAAATGGCAACAAAGGAGGTTCTAAATCAAAAGATTTGAGTTATCTTAGACAAAACTCACACATGAGCCACTTTGAAAATGCCAAAATTCAGAGGTATATGATTAATAAAATCATACTTGACAAAAAGCATCCATCTACAATATTGAAGTGGCAGGACAACTCAGAGCAGTAATAATAAGGTGAAGTGAAGCAAAGAGGAAATGGCAAGCTCAGTTAGAAAGACAAGGCAATGAGACAAATCACGTAAACAGGTATGTATATCAGAGCTGAGAACAATGATCCTTAATAGTTGAAGACAAGCGTACAAGAAACAGATGAAACCATCACTAGGTAAATAGCGAAATACGTGAATGGAACGTGCCTCTTTCCTGTTCACTCTCATCTGTAAAACAAAAGGAAGAAAGGACCAATTAATTCGAAATGAAGGCACGTGTCAGTGAGCAAAGAAAAAAACTTGAAACACTTCCCTAGTTTTCCGTATGGTTCAAAGTGACCAATATTTCTCAGAACTGGAACCAGAAGATTCCAAAAGCACCCTGACCAACCACAGGTATTGTTGTTCATGTTCTACACACTCCCTGGTGCAAATGTAACTAAATAGAAAAAAATAGAAAAGGAACTGAATAGAAAACTAAATACAAAAGGAACTAAATAAACATCCCGAGAGGAGGTTGAGATGACCTTTTTTGGAATAAACAACGTCCGGCATTGGTCTTGCATTGAGCCTTCTTCCCTTTGAAAATATAGGGCAAACACACACCAGTCCACAAGACAGGTGCTTAAGACAGATGAGGAAGCCAACAGTAAAAGCGTCCATCTGTCCCCAAACTGTATCTCTAGCAGATACACTTCTAAAATCCATTTCCTCTGAAAAAAAAAATCATTGAAAAATGTTTAAGAAAGGATGATGTTAAACGTTTTAATCCTGTATTAAGGTTTTATGAAAAACTCGTTGGAAATGTCCTAGAAACCGGCTGAAAATATTGTGAATTGAGACACATTATCAATGAAATTTCCTTAGTATATACAGATCTTTTATAAACATTTAAAAGGGATTGCCGTTCCCAGAATTAATAATTGTGTTGGTAAAAGCGCAGAAGTTTAAATGACGCTTACTATGGTTGGAAAGGAAAAAGAAAGGAAAAATTATGTAACATATCCGTATGCCTTGGAGCACTTGGGTGATACGTTCAAGGAGAGTGGAAAGTGAGCCTCAAGTTCACACTTGACCAATAAGAGACACCAGAATTTACAGTCTTTCAAAGGACAACGGAGGGAGAAACCTCATTCAGCAAGGTAGGACTGTTCTCCCATTTCTTAAGGTTTGGGGTAAAACTGAAGGCATCTTACTGTGCCCTCCTCCTTCAAGTACATAACAGAGGTCCTAGCTTAATGGTCATTTTCCAGAAAATATTTGTAGAATGGAAACCTGATGCCTATCAGCCTAATTCCCTTCATCTCTCCAACATCATAATACAACTACGGCAAGTCTCTTGAAGACGGAAGCAACGTTCACAGGCAAGGACTGGTAGGGCATGAAAACAGAAGCAACGGGAATGAATGAAAGGCCAAAAAACAGAAGTGCAGAGAATGTAACAGGGAAGAAGTTCATAAACAAAAGTCTGTGGGAGGGAAGAGTAGACATCTGGGAGAAAGGTGAGCCAACGGATGTCATGTAGGTGAAATGGCAGGGAGCACTAAAGACCAAGACAGCAGCCACTGAAATGGTTATGGGAGTAAAGGGTTGTCAGAGGAGTCTTACCTGATTCTTTCAGTTCTGCAAAATAAAATGGAAAGATTAATGTAAATATCATGGGAAACAAACATAAAGAAAATTCAAATGCACTAAAAGTTTTAAATGTAAAATCAAACCTAACAGGTTCTAGAATTGGACACACACACTCACACACACGCACACAAACACAGACTCAATCATTGACACACATGCATCAAGAGTGGCTGAAAGTCTACTTTTGTCCAGAGAATATTCTACAAAATGAAAATAGGGGAAACAGAATGAATTTACTTAAGAGAAAATATTCTAGAAACATTAGTTGTGGTGGCTACCTCATAAAAATTATTCTTGATCCCTTTTGGCATTATTTATTTGAGTTGTTATTGTTCCTTTTGTTAGTTTTGGTAGGCTCTGGACTGCTACTATTAATATTCATTCCTTGTTATTGTGCTAACTATGTTGTATAAAGTAGCCACAAACACTGAGTTCCAGAACACTGAACCACTGCCTGTGGTGAAAATGCAGAGTTAGATTCCTGGGAGCTTCTATTTACAACATTTCCCTCAATCACTTAATACATAACCTTATTCTATATGAGTTTCTGTTTTAACTCACGCCTGGATGAAGCTTATCACATGAAAGGAAGGGAAGTAAAGTATGAAATGGCAACGAAGGGGGTTGTAAATCAAAAGACGTGAGTTCACTTAGACAAAACTTACACTTGAACCACTTTGAGAATGCCAAAATATCAGAGGTATGTGATTAATAAAATTATACTTGACAAAAAGCATCTGTCTACAATATTGGAGTGGCAGGACAATTCAGAGCAGTAATAATAAGGGAAAGAGAATTAAAAAGCAAAACAGCAAGCTTGGGTAGAAAGATAAGGTAATGAGACAAATCACGTAAACAGGTAGTATGTATACTGGAGTTGAGAACGATGATCCTTAATAGTTGAAGACAAGCGTACAAGAAACAGATGAAAGAAGCACTAGTCAAACAGCGAAATATGTGAATGGGACTTGCCTTTTTCCTGTTCACTCTTAACTGGAAAATAAAAGGAAGAAAAGACAAATTAATTCAAAACGAAGGCACATGTCAGTGAGCAAAGATAAAAATGTGAAACACTTCCATAGTTTTCTCTATGGTTGAAACTGACTAATATTTCCCAGAATTGGAACCAGATAATTCCAAAAGCAACCTCACCAATCACAGGCCATGTTGTTTTACTTGTACAGACTCGTTGGTGCAAAAGTAACTAAACAGAATATGAAACCCTGAGAGGAGGTTGAGATGACCTTTTTTGGGATAAACAATGTCCGTCTTCAGTCTTGCATTGAGCCTTCTTCTCTTTGAAAATATAGGGCAAACACACACCAGTCCACAAGACAGGTGCTTAAGACAGATGAGGAAGCCAACAGTAAAAGCGTCCATCTGTCCCCAAACTGTATCTCTAGCAGATACACTTCTAAAATCCATTTCCTCTGAAAAAAAATCATTGAAAAATGTTTAAGAAAGGATGATGTTAAACGTTTTAATCCTTATATTAAGGTTTTATGAAAAACTCGTTGGAAATGTCCTAGAAAACGGCTGAAAATATTGTGAATTGAGACACATTATCAATGAAATTTCCTTAGTATATACAGATCTTTTATAAACATTTAAAAGGGATTGCCGTTCCCAGAATTAATAATTGTGTTGGTAAAAGCGCAGAAGTTTAAACGACAGTTACTATGGTTGCAAAGGAAAAAAACTGGAAAAATTATGTAACATATTCCTATACCTTGGAGCACTTGGATAAGATGTTCAAGGACAGTGGAAAGTGAGCCTCAAGTTCACACTTGACCAATAAGAGACACCAGAATTTACAGTCTTTCAAAGGACAACGGAGGGAGAAACCTCATTCAGCAAGGTAGGACTGTTCTCCCATTTCTTAAGGTTTGGGGTAAAACTGAAGGCATCTTACTGTGCCCTCCTCCTTCAAGTACATAACAGAGGTCCTAGCTTAATGGTCATTTTCCAGAAAATATTTGTAGAATGGAAACCAGATGCCTATCAGCCTAATTCCCTTCATCTCTCCACATCATAATACAACTACGGCAAGTCTCTTGAAGACAGAAGAAGCAACGTTCACAGGCAAGGACTGGTAGGGCATGAAAACAGAAGAAACGGGAATGAATGAAAGGCCGAAAAACAGAAGTGGAGAGAATGTAACAGGGAAGAAGTTTATAACCAAATGTCTGTGGGAGGGAAGAGTAGACATCTGGGAGAAAGGTGAGCCAATGGATGTCATGTAGATAAAATGGCAGGGACTACTAAAGACCAAGACAGCAGCCGCTTAAATTGTCATGGGTGTAAAGGGCTGTCAGAGGAGTCTTACCCGATTCTTTCAGTTCTGTAAAATAAAATGGAAAGATTAATGTAAATATCATGGGAAATAAACACGAAGAAAATTCAAATGCCCTAATAATTTTAAATGTAAAATCAAATCTAACAGGTTGCAGCACACATTCACACACACACACACACACACACACACACAGACTCACTGACTTACACACATCCATCAACAGTGGCTGAAAGCCCACTTATGTCCAGAGAATATTTTATGAAAAATGAAATTAGGGGAAACAATGAATTTACTGCAAGAGAAAATATTTTAGAAATATTAGCTGTGGTGGCTAACTCATAAAAACTATTCCTGATCCCTTTTGGCACTATTTAGTTAAGTTGTTATTGTTCCTTTTGTTAGTTTTGGTAGGTTCTGGACTGCTACTATTAATAGTCATTTCTTGTTATTGTGGTAACTATGTTGTATAAAGTAGCCACAAACACTTGATTTACAGAATATTGAACCAGTACCTGTAGAGAAAATGCAGAGTTAGTTTCCTGTGAGCCTCGATTCACATTTCCCTCCATCACTTAATACATAACTTTGTTTTATGTGAGTTTTATTTTAACACATGCCTAAACGAAACTTATCTTGATTAAACTGCATTAAAGGAAGGGAAATGAAGTATTTAGTGGCAGGAGAAAGGGTTCTAAATCAAATGATCTGAGCCTTGTATAAAATGTACACATTACACATCAGAAAGTTAAAAATACCAAAACTCCACAGGTATAATCTTAATAAAATTCACTTGACGGAAAGGATTTGTCTATATTGATTGCAGTGATAAGACAAATGAAACAAGGAAATTGAATACCAAATGATGACAGCAAACTTCAGTTAGAAAGATAAGAAAGCAAAATGAAAAATATGTGCTTGCTGGAGTTGAGGAATATGATCATTGAGAGCTGAAGACTAAAGTACAAGAAACAGATAGAGCTATGACTAGGTGCACAGTGAAATACGTTAACTGGCCTTGCCTTTTTCCTGTCACTTTTATACGAAAAATAAAAGGAATAAAGAACCAGCTCATTAAAAATGAGTGCACAATGTCAGGAAGGAGGGGGACAAAACTTTGAAACCCTCTCATAATTTACTCTGTGGTTCAAACTGACTCATATTTCTGAGAATTGGAACCACATGGTTCCAAGGACATCTCATCAATCAGAGGCGATTTGTTTTATATTCTCCCATCTCTTAGTGCAAAAGGAATTAAGATAGGAAATGATACAATGAGAGGAAGTAGAAAATCTACTGGGATAAACACTAACAAGATATTGTCCTTCACTGGGCCTTCTTTTTTCAGAACAAAATGCAAATAAGCAGGCATGCATGAGACAGGTACTTAAAAAGTGATGAGGAAGTATACAGTAAAACACCCATCTGTCCATAACTGCATCTGTACCTGTAGTCATATGAAGCCTGCTCTGTACATTAAGGAGACATATTCTAAATTCCATTCCCTCTGAAAACAAAAATATAACTTAAAAATATCATTAGGAACAGAAGTATATTAAACCTTCAATGATTATATTAGTGTTTAACAAAAAAAAATATTCTAGGAATATCCTAGGACAACAACATAAAAAAGTAGTGTAAAACTCACTGGTAATGGCAAATATATAGTCAGTTAGACTCTGTAATATGGTAATAGTGGTGCATAATTCACTTACAACTCTAATTTCAAAGTTAAAAATATAAGCATAGTAAAAATAACCATAAGTACAATAATCTGTTATTAGTTACACAATGTAAAATATATGTAAATTGTAACAGCAATAACCTAAAATATGAGGGGGAGAAGAAGTAAAAGTGTAACATTTAGGAATTCTATTGAAGTTAAATTGTTGTCAGCTTAAAGTAGGTGTCACAGTTTTAAGATATTTTATGTAAGCCTCATGGTAACCACAAGGGAAAAACCTATAGCAGTTACACAAAAATGATAAAGAAGTCAAAGCATACTGATAAAAAAAGACATCAAAACACACAAAAAAGCACGATAAAAAAGAAAGAACAACGGATCTAAAAAACAACTGGAGTACAATTAAAAAAATGACAATAGTTAAGTTCTCACCTATCAATAATTATTTTAAATGTAAATGGATTAAATTTTCCAACCAAAACACAGAATGGCTGAATGGATAAAACAACAAGATCCAATGATATGCTGCCTACCCTACCTGAGCGTTTCTTCCAGTTCACAAATGCAAATATGCCAGCTACCACAGCTACCACTGCGAACACAGCTGCCACAGCGGCCACAGCTACCACAGCTGCCACAGGTACACAAATTTTAGGGAGAACCGAATCAGCAACGATGGGCATGGCGGCCTGAGGCGGCGGCTCTGGGAAGGGAAGGAAAGGGAAGGGAAGTTGAGGGCCCCGACCCCCAGGCCTCAGCCCTGACGCTGTTGAAGGTCTCCAGAAGAGCTCCTGATTTCCCTAAGAGGCTCTGAGCCCACGGCTCCCTCCTTACCCCATCGCAGGGTGAGGGGCTCAGGCAGCCCCTCGTGCTGCACATGGCACGTGTATCTCTGCTCCTCTCCAGAAGGCACCACCACAGCCGCCCACTTCTGGAAGGTCCCGTCCCCTGCAGGCCTGGTCTCCACAAGCTCCGTGTCCTGGGGCAGGTCCTCTCCATCACGCTGCCAGGTCAGGGTGATCTCCGCAGGGTGGAAGCCCAGGGCCCAGCACCTCAGGGTGACCTCATGGTCAGAGATGGGGTGGTGGGTCACATGTGTCTTTAGGGGTTCTGAGAGGACGGGTCAGAAATTTGAACTGGAGTCAGACATCAAACACATTGGTTGTGGGGCAGAGAACAAGGCTTGAGAGAGAAAGCCTTCCCCTCCGCCCCGCCCCGCCCCCAGTGCTTTCCAAAGCCACTGCCAGAGGCAAAGGGAACCCATCATCAGTTATTTCAGAGATAGCTTTCCTCTCCATCCGCGGAGAGACTGCATCCCTTAATTGCCCAGAGAGAAGGGTGGGCACTCTAGGCGAGTAACTCTCTGGTACCAGATCTGAAAACCCAGGCCGACTCAGTCTCCCTGCCCACAGGTTCCACCTCTCCTTGTAGAAGGTCCTCAGCCACACGCGAGATCAGGGAGGCCCCGCGGTCTGGCGTACCCGCGCGCTGCAGCGTCTCCTTCCCGTTCTCCAGGTATCTGAGGAGCCACTCCACGCACGTGCCCTCCAGGTAGTTCCTGCGCTGCTCCGCCTCACCGGCCGCCTCCCACTTGCGCCGGGTGATCTGAGCCGCCGTGTCCGCCGCGGTCCAGGAGCGCAGGTCCTCGTTCAGGGCGAGGTAATCGGCGCCGTCGTAGGCGAACTGAGTGTACCCGCGGAGGAGGCGCCCGTCCGGCCCCACGTCGCACCCATACATGTGCTGGATGGTGTGAGACCCTGACCCCGTCCCGAGGTCAGCCTTGGCCACGCCCCGTGACCAGACTCGCCACCGACCCGACCACTAGGCAGTGATTAAGCCTAAACTGAATATGAAACCGGGTAAAAGTCCCCGCGGGCTCCACCCTGGTGGAGGGACGGGGCGGGTCCCGCAGCCTTGGGGTGAATCTCGGACCCAGAGACTCGGGGAGACCCCGGCCCGTCCGAGGGGATCGGGGGTCGCGGCCTGGACCTGGGCCCGCGTCGCTCACCGGCCTCGCTTTGGTTGTAGTAGCCGCGCAGGGTGTTCAGGTTCACTCGGAAATTCTCTGCGGCTTCCTGGGCGATCTGTGTCTGCTCTTCCCAATACTCCGGTCCCGCCTGCTCCATCCATGGCGCCCGCGGCTGCATCCTCGGACTCTCGGCGTCGCTGTCGAACCGCACGAACTGCGTGTCGTCCACGTAGCCGACGGCGATGAAGCGGGGCTCCCCGCGGCCGGGCCGGGACACGGCGGTGTAGAAATACCTCATGGAGTGGGAGCCTGGGGGCGGGGAGGGGCTGAGACCTGGCTGACCCTCCTCTCGGAGAGGGTACCCGGGGCCCGGGAGGGGAGGGCAAGGGGGGGTCGAAGACGGAAAAGAGGCAGTGGGACAGAAAAGGGCCTGGATTTAGGGATGGGACGAGGAGGGGGCCGGATAAGGGAGGGGTCAGGATGAGGTGGAGCCGAAGTTGGGGGAGAGTCTGGGCAGGTGTCCTCAAAGACGCGCCTTCCCCGGGGGTCCTCCGCCCCTGCCGAGTCCCCTAGCTCCGTTCCCCGCAGAGGCCGTTTCCTCCCGACTCCGCACTCACCCGCCCAGGTCTCGGTCAGAGTCCCCGCGAGCAGCAGGAGGAAGGTCGGCACCTCCGTAGCCCGCATCCTCCGTGTTTGGGGAAAATCTGAGTCCCCGCTGGTCAGTGTGGAGTTTATAACCAGGAACCGCAGTGACACTGATTGGCTTCTCTGGAAACTGGACACGCAATGGGAGTGAGAACTGGGTCGTCTTCAAGAGAATCCAGGCAGGAGAACCTGACGCAGGTTGTGATAGAGAGAAGTGAAACTTAGGGAGATGGGAACTCCCCAACACTGAGCTTACCCTCGCCAGACGCTGCCCTTGGGGCCTGACACCCTGATTGCCACACCCGGGGACCTGGGACTCTGCCCTGACCCCTCTCCTCCTGCACCGAGAGCTCTTTGTCACACCGTCTCCCTGAGTCCTGGCCCAGGGCCTGTCTGAGGAAACCAGGGAGAGACCCCAGGCTGGGCTCAGCCCCTTTTCCTCCTCTTACTGGAATCCATCTCCCTGAAATGGACTTGCTGCCTCCCACCCCTGACCTCTCCCCTGGACTCTTCTAGAAGAAAACTCAGTCCCAGAGGACTTGACGCCAGAGAGTGAGCTCGCCCTGGGAATGGAGGGGGAGGGACAACGATTTTCTTCTTAAACCTGGAGGAGTTGTGCCTGAAAACACCAGACAGAGGTTCTCATGGAGACCAGCTTCCTTTTTGTTTAACTACAGTGGGTAACACAATCTTGAAAACCCTGAACATCAGGAATCTAATCCGTAAAAGAAGTGATTTTGGCCCCTTCCTACAGAAATGTGTCTACACAGCGCTGCAGTCAGACTCACAAAGCCCCTAAGTTTTACTTTCCCAGACAGTATAACTGTGACTCCAGGTTGTTAATATTTTGAAATGCCCTTCATTCCATAGCCCTGAGTGTCTCCATGTGAGTCCTGACATGTCCTCAGTACGATGAAGCACATGGAAGCACAGTTTGTTACTGTGTGTTAATCTCCTCAAAGTTGCAAGTGTTCAATGCAGTCAAAATGCCCTTCACCAATGCTCATGCATGCCTGTTTTTATGAATTTTATTCACATCAAGTGGTGTACATATTTTATTGGGCACTTAGTTTTTAAACCGATTAACATAAGGAGGTAATTAGTTTTTGGGAAGCCCCACAGATTGAATGAAATACCAAATGCAAAGAATACCCTGCTGGGCTCTGTAGATATGTTTATTAAAGATCTATAAAACAATATGTTTAAATCTGAGGATTCCACTGCTTTAGAGTTCTTTCCCTCTGCTTCTTCTCCTCACCCCTGCTCCTCCAGCCCTTCTCTCTGTCCCTCTCACCCCTCTTCTTCACTTAATCTCCACCACCCTCTCACACCTGAATTGTGGCACCAGCACCAACCCCTTGCCTGCCACGCAAGGACTGTTCTCCCCACAGGGGTCAGTAATGCTGCTAATTGAGTCAGGATGTGTCATTTCTTCACTAAAACACTCCAATGGCTCTGTCTCACTCTTGGGAAGCCTCTAGAATGTAAGACAAATGAGCACAGGGGCTTTGGGCTATTTAGGTCAAAGCTGTATGCCCATCATATGAAGTTGTTCCTGGGACATAGTAGGCATTAAATTAATTGCTGAATGAATGAGTGAAATATGATTGTATTAAAATTTAATTGCGTTATATAAAAATCATAAAGTGAAAAATACAAAAAAGTTAGGAAAGATTTTATTTTGTGCAACTAGCATACATATCTGTTCATAAATTCATCCCCGTAGAAAAAAATACTATGTGCTTATCTGTTGCCCAGTGAGTCTGTATATTAGTTTTTTATTACTGCATAACAAATTATCACAACTTAGTGGCTCAAAACAACACCCATTTATTTGCTTGTAGTTCCTTAGTCAGAAATCCAGGCATGGTGTGGTTGAGTACTCTGTTCAGGGTTTCACAAAGCTGGGTTCTCATCTTGAGCTCAGGATCCTCCTCTAAGCTTGTACAGAGATTGTTAGCAGAATTCAGTTTCTTCCGGTTGTGAGACTGAGGTCCCTGTTTTCTTGACAACTGTTGACAAGGAGCCTCAGGGAGGGCTGCTCTCAACACTTAGTGGCCACCAGCATTCTTTGCCATGTAGCTTCTCCACTTTCAAAGCCCACAATGGAGAAAATCCCTCACGTTGAATCCCTCTCACTCTTTGAATCTCTTTCTTTAGGAAGAACCCCTATTCTGGGTTTACTTGCTTTAGACAGTCCAACTCAAGATAATCCCCGTGTCTTAAAGTCAACTGATTTGAGACCTTAGATCCATCTGCAAAATCCCTTCACAGCAACATCTGTATTGGTGTTTGATTGAATCACTGGGAGGAAGGTAAATAACTAGCAGGTGGTGGTTGTGGACCGTCATGGAATCAGCCTGGCATGGTCTGGTTCTTCTTTTTGAGTTTAATTGAGTCACAATTGGAAATTAAAGTTCAAGTAAATAGATTGCTGTGAATGATAATATATCCTATTAGCCATGGAAATTTTTTTTAAATCTAAGAACCAAATCACATGTTTAATATTTTACAATTAATTTAGAGCAAATGAAAGTTAAAGTAGAATAATTCATTCTCTCTGGACACTGTATTAATTATGTACCACAGCATAACACATTACCCCAAACTTAGCAGCTCAAAGAACAAATGTGTATTATCTCCCAGAGTTTCCCAGGTTCAGGAATCCGGGAGAGGTTTACCTGTGCACTTCTGGCTCATGGCCTCTCTCAAGATTGCAGTCAAGTTGTCATCCAGGGCTGTATCATCTGAGGGCTTGACTGAGGCTGGAGGTTTCAGAAGAAACATGGCTCACTCATATGGCTGTTGGAAGGGGCCTCATTTCCTTCCTGGGTGGTCCCAGGAGGCCTGAGTTCCTAGCCATGTGGACTTTTCCATAACATGGATAATGACTAGGTAGCCAACTTCTCCCAAAGCAAGTGATTAAAGAGAGAAAGAGCAACCATGATGGAAGTTGCAATGTGTTTTAGGTCCTAGACCCAGAGTCACACACCATTCCATCAGCCTTACTCTGTCAGTTAGCAGTGAGTCATTAAGTACAGTACCATTAAGTACCACACTCAAGAGGAGGAAATTAACCTCCACCTCTAGAAGGAAGAGTATTTCCATAGATGTTAAAACAAAAGTTAATTATTTCAGGATTTTGTGAATCAATGCTTCTCTTATCTGATTATTGTTCTTTAATGCTTTTCATTTCTCTTTTGGAAAGTAATGGTTAAAATTATGAGACAGAGAAAGGAGATACAATAATATTTGCAAGTTTTTCTTGCAATTGCCTTTAATAATAATGTTCCCTTCAATAAGTTGCAACAAAGTTGAGAACATATAGAAGCTAGATCAAATAGTCCCAAGACCTGGGTGCCATGATAATGCCTTTAAAATAATAACTATCTTTGTTTGTCCATAGACATTTCAAATTTAGTTTCTTAAGAATGTCAAAACTATTGGCTAAAATGCAAATTTTCTTATTCAGCATCATCTTCAAAAATATTTGTGTAGTGAAATTGCTTTTCAGTTAGAAAAATGTGAATCTCATACCTCAGTCTATACACCTAGCTTAGCATCATGACAATTTTGGTGAGATGCAGTAGGCAGAAAAGATTAACTCCAATCTAAAAACAAAGTTTTCCCAAAACTCGCTATTCATTTGGCACTTTATAATAAATTTAACATCTTTCACTGTGTTTTGGGATGAGATTTGATAGAAGTGATTTGGACACCGTGATTCTAAAAAGCACCGTTAATATGTGCCTCTAAAGTTTTTAAAAAGCAGCTCTAATGTGTTTTCCATTCACACTTTCTATTCTGTAACTGGTTATCCCTTTATAAGGTTTTCCAGTTTACTTTATATTGATCAACAATGTGCTTTCCACTTCTGTAAAAGTAGTTAATTAAGTTCTATGTAAGGTTAAATGTAAGTAACACATCAAATCCTTCTAAAGATAGAATTACCTTGCACATCAGATTAAACATTGTATACTAGAAAATCTTAGAGATGCCAGTGAGCAAAAGATCAAATGACCTATTTCTAGCCATTGCATTATTTATGGCATCCCAGCCCTGTCTCTCACATGGCTCATAACATTGGTTGTGATTTTGCTCCGATGTGGTAGTTCTCTAATGATCTTTGCAAGGAACTTTGATAGCTTCTTTACTTTTTTCTTTTCTTTTTTTATAATTTTTAATTTTTATTTTTTTGGATGTACATCATATTTCGAATTCTGTATACATCACATCATGTTCACCACCCGAACGCTAATTATAGTGCACCCCCTCACATGTGCCCCTAATCACCCCTTTTGCCCTCCCCCCTTCCCCAATGGTAACCACCAGTTCAATCTCCAATGCTATGTGATTTGTGGGGTTTTTTTTGTCGTTTTTATCTTCTACTTTTGAGTGAGATCATATGGTATTTGACTTTCTCCCTCTGACTTATTTCACTCAGCATAATACCCTCAAGGTCCATCCATGTAGTCACAAATGGCCGGATTTCGTCATTTCTTATGGCTGAGTAGTAGTCCATCGTGTATAAATACCACATCTTCTTTATCCATTCGTCCCTTGATGGGCACCTAGGTTGCTTCCACGTCTTGGCTATTGTGTATAATGCTGCAATGAACATAGGGGTGCAAGTATCTTTATGCCTTTGTGTTTTCAACTTCTTTGGATAAATACCCAGCAGTGGAATAGCTGGTTCATATGGTAGATCTATCCTTAATTTTCTGAGGATACTCCAAACTGCTTTCCATAGTGGCTGCACCAGTTTGCACTGCCACCAGCAGTGAACAAGGGTTCCCTTCTCTCCACACCCTCTCCAACATTTGTTGTTTCCTGTCTTGTTAATTATAGCCGTTCTGACGAAGTGAGGTGATACCTCATTGTAGTTTTGACTTGCATTTCCCTGATAGCTAATGATGTGGAGCATCTTTTCATATGCCTGTTGGCCATCTGTATATCTTCTTTGGATAAATCTCTGTTCAGATCTTTTGCCCAGTTTCTAATTGGATTGTTGGTTTTTTTGTTCTTGAGCTGTATGAGTTCTTTGTATATTTTGGATATTAACCCCTTATCTGATATGTGGTTTGCAAATATCTTCTCCCAATTGTTAGGTTGTCTTTTCATTTTGTTGATGG